ATATATATATATATATATATATATATATATACACATATATACATACTTCTTATCATTCGTCTAATTGAAGTGCTTAACTCATTTCAAAAGAGTGCTTTTCAAATACATAAATATTCACATTTGAAGTAAAATGGAAATTAAAAAAAAAAAAAAAAACAAAGAAAACAAAAACTTACTTAGCTTTTTGTTATTAAAATAATTAATAATAATGCTCGCTCGCCCAAAAATTGTATGTATGTTGTCACACACTTCCACACACATACATTTGTATTATACAAATTATGAATCTCGTATCGATTCGCGTACATCTTGGTTTTTCTTTTCTTTTTTTTTTTTATTATTTATTTAGTTAACATCTCTAAATGAACTTCGCATGCTGTTCCTGTTGTATATGTATATGTGTATATATATATACATATATATGCATATGTATATATATATATATATATATGTATGTGCGCGTATGTATGTGCATGTGTACTATCGCTTAATTATTGTATACATATGGTTATGTATGCATAAATCTCAATAAATGTATTGTTTTTTTTTTTTCTCTAACATTTAAATGTGTGTTTATATGTGTACGTACACGTCGGCTGTCGCCTGTAAATTATGTACTATTCTCGTCAATTTTATATACATATGTAACTCGTATCATATATCTCTCCCTCTATTTCTCTCTCTCTTGACTTAAACTTAACTTAAATCCTTTTCATTTCACGCATCTCTTTTAGTTTAATTCATTTCAATATTTACAAGTTCACTCATGTACATGGTCCAAGTCACACCAAGTCATCGCATGACACGCCAAGCATTCTAATTCAATACATACATATATAAATAGCATCGAATATATCGCAATCTAAAGGAATACAACTTATTAGTACAATGCTCGATCAATCATCAAAAAAAAAAAAAAAAAAACAGAGCAACTTTTACAATTAAACTGCATTAGCTTTTCTCGAAAAAGCACTGAGCACCCTTCTCACAAGTTATCGTTTAGTATTCAAAAAGGACTAGGAAACATATGGTCATAGCATTTTGAAATTTGAATTTTTATACTTAAGCGTAGAAACTAACGAAATCCTCCGCTCAGCTTTTCTTATATGATTTTGATAAAGAGATAGAAGTCCTACGACAAGTAGACAGTCCCGAGCAAGTACTTGTGCTACATATCGGCAAAATATGCTATAAAAAGCCACAGCAACAATCGTTTCAATAGCAATAGTCAATAGCAAAAGACTGGATTGGCGTAAGATTATGAGGTGTGAGCGGTTAGACCATCGCTTTACTACCATTCTAAAAATTTTCCAGAAATAAAATACATCTGAGGGGTCGAAATTTAGATGCCTTACGAATTGAGTTAAAAAATCGAATTGAATCGATTGAATATAGTTCGATAGTCTCTCTCTCTCTCTCTCTCTCTTACTTAACTCTTAACGAGTTTTCCAGCGGTTGTCAGTGAACCTACCGAAAAGCAAGCATATACAACTGCATTTGAAATGGAAATATATAGAAATCCGCTCCCAAGATGCATCGAGCAATGGGTGACATGAATAACGAATATTTTGCTTAAAAATTTAAATTTGATATTAAATTTTTATTCCCCCAAGCCTTCAGGTGAAGTCGCCCTTCAACCTGTAAAAATTTTATAACCAAAAACTTGTCCATATATAAATATATAGCTATTATCCATAAATTATTACGGAATTCTGCTTTTATAAGGCTTTGGTTATCCAGCTTTGACTGTCTAAGTTACGTGTGTATGATGTACAAAGTGAACTTACGAAAAATCTACGAACATTATTAGAGATTAGGGGACAACTTTGAATCGATTTAATCGGTCCATGAAGCCATCGAATCGGTAAAAATTAGAAGAAAGGAGGTAAGGCTTCGCAAATTTTTGAGAATGAAAATTTCATAGTCCAACACAGGTATATCTATCTATACGCTTGGAACTAAAATTTATTAGATCCAGAAAAATATGTATAAAACCAACGGTTCCTAGGTTACGTTTTGAAGCGATTACTTTTTTTTTACTTCTTAATGAGCAATAAAGAATATAATGCAAAAAAATTAAAAATTCTAAAACATGAGATTGGATTTTAATTTTCTCTATGCATATGCATTATACATCTGGCGTGATAGGGGGTATAAGGGCATCTACAAGCTACGTTGCTTTCTCTTTGTTTCTTCTAAAAAAATTTATGAAAAATAGCACAAAAAAAAGATAAAATAGTGTTCGGGTAATTTATTCGGATTTTCTTCCTAAATATTTCCTCTTTTAGCAGAGGAAAAGAAAAGAGTGGACCATTAAATATTCGCGAAATTCTTTGAAAGTTAATTCCTACAGAATAGCATAAGAGGCAATTAGCCATCGTTATAGTAATTTTTTAAAGGTTTTTCTAATTCATTATCCCCTCCCTTTTTTTTGGTCTAATCCCATTCATGAGGATCACGGTATGTCCCCCAATGAATTATGTCTAAGCTAAAACTCATTTATCCGCTTTGGAAGTAAAGGCTGAAAAAGGTCATATGGACATACGTCAATGAAAAGCAGTACGTACGAGCCCACCTAAGCAGTGTACAAGCATTATAATTTACTTAAAAAAAAAAAAAAAAAAAAAAAAAAAAAAAAACATAATTTAAGGGGAACATTTCAAAAGACGAGGTCTCCATATCACGACTACATGTGCATATGAAACCATACAACATCTTAGCAATTTTTTTTATTATACAAATTAATTTAATTTTAGTTATATGCAAGAAAAAAAAAAAAAAAAGTTTTTTTTTTAAACTTCATAAGTATCATAAGTAGTTTTATATGCGTACTTATCATACATATACTTAACTACATAATTTTAAATGTTAGTTAATTTTTATTAAAAATTTTTAGCTTATTTTTCTCTACACAAAATAAAAGCAAATTTAATTAAAATCGAAAATGATTTGCATTTTGATGTTTAGAAAAACAAAGGAATATAAGACAATCGTTTTCTGCAATTATTAAGACAGATATAGTTAATGTTTAATTAATCGATTTTTCTCAATATATTTTCCTATATATGATAATCTTAGGCCGACAAGTCGCAGTACGGGGTCGGGAGCACAAAATCAAAATGGTGGCGTAACATTGCCAGCGGGAATCGCTGATGATCAATCAAAGGATTTTGACTTTGAGAAAACAGAAATGAAATACGATTCGACCGGCATGTTCCACTGGAGTCCAGCTAAAAGTCTTGAAGATTGCATACTGGTAAGAGAACGACATGAAATCCTATCTAATTGAAGACAATTGAAGACTGGCAAAAAAAAAGAAGTGATTTGAGAGACATTATCTATTTGTTTATTTTTTTGTAGGATCGTAATCAAGCGGCAATGACAGTCTTAAATGGTCATGTGGTGGTGTGTCTATTCGCAGATCCCGACTCACCTCTGATTGGTCTGCGTAATTTAGTCATGCCTCTTCGCGCTTCGAATTTTCATTATCATGAATTGAAGCATGTGGTCATTGTGGGCTCAGTTGATTACATAAGGCGGGAATGGAAGATGTTGCAAAACTTGCCGAAAATATCGGTGCTGAATGGTTCTCCGTTAAGTAGAGCTGATTTAAGAGCCGTAAATGTTAATCTATGCGACATGTGTTGCATTTTATCGGCAAAAGTTCCTAGCAATGATGATCCCACACTGGCCGACAAAGAGGCAATATTGGCATCATTGAATATCAAAGCCATGACATTCGACGATACGATCGGAGTGTTGAGTCAGAGGGGACCCGAATTCGACAATTTAAGCGCAGCCGCCGGCAGCCCAATTGTATTGCAACGCCGTGGCTCTGTCTATGGAGCAAATGTACCCATGATAACAGGTAAACTGCATCGCACCAAGTTGACTTTGTTTACAAACCGACCAAAGCTAACTAATATATATATATATATATATATATATATGTGTGTGTGAACATCCTCACTTGTATTCATATAGAAATTTCGAAAAATTGTCGTTAATACCCTCCATCTTTTGTTTTGTTTTTTTTAACTGACACATTTCGCTACATAATTAAATATTAAATTTTTATTAATCGATTCGCATACTTGGATTTTGAAATGAACAAGAACTTTTTTCATTGAACCGGAACCGGGCTAAGCTCAACAACAAGCTATTTCTAAAATTATATATGCATCAAGAGTGCTTACTCTGCTTCTTCTTTTCTTTCTAGATTCAATTATAATTCAGTTTTTTTTTTTTTTTTTTTTTTTTCTTAATTTAAGTTATTTCCAACAATTGCTATATATATCACACACAGACGATCGATTTCTATCAAGAATGAAGAGCATTTCAATGCCAGTCAGATTTCTCGTCTAATCTTAATTTTCATTAAGCGAACAAAAATAGAAAATCCCTTACCCTCAGATCAGGAAAATGGTATGACTGGAAAATGATTCATCTACAGAGTTGTATTAGACTAAAGTGAAAATGAATAAAACGCAATATATAAGCACATGGGGCGATTGAGTACAGATTTTCCTCTCTTTTTTGTTGATAGCTTTCAGTGACTAATAATATCGAACCCTAAATACTTCCCCTACACATTAATTAATATTCGGTTTGCGCGATGCATTCAGTGTTCGCATCTTAACGGACGAAGCGATTACTTTTTATTATTAGCGTGTGAGTCCAAAATTTTTTGGGGGGATATCTAAAGCGCTTTATTATTGTCTTTTACTAACTAATTGACTTATTAACAATTTGAGTAAGAAACGTAATAAAGCACGTTTTGGTTGTTGTTTAAAGAACTTGTCAACGATAGTAACGTGCAGTTTCTTGATCAGGACGATGATGATGATCCCGATACAGAATTATATTTAACGCAACCGTTTGCCTGCGGCACTGCATTTGCAGTTAGTGTATTAGATTCATTAATGTCAACGGTACAGTATTAAACAATTTTTGCGATAAGAGATGTTCATGCGAATTATTTGTTTTGCCATTTTTTTTTTGTTTTTTGTTTTTGTTTTTCTATTGAACGCAGACATACTTTAATCAAAACGCGTTGACGCTGATAAGATCATTGATAACGGGCGGTGCTACACCGGAATTGGAATTGATTTTAGCAGAAGGTGCCGGTTTGCGTGGTGGCTACAGTACACCCGAAAGTTTAAGTAATAGGGACAGGTAATTAAATAAATTTTCTTAACGATTAGCTAGCTGTGATTGTCATCATGTTTAATTAAGATGCCGAGTGGGTCAGATATCATTGTATGATGGCCCGTTGGCACAATTTGGCGAATGCGGTAAATATGGAGATTTATTTGTGGCGGCTTTGAAATCCTACGGTATGTTATGCATAGGATTATATAGATTTCGAGATACCAGTTCTAGCTGCGATGCGAGTAGCAAACGTTACGTTATAACAAACCCACCCGACGATTTTTCACTACTGCCAACAGATCAGGTACATTTGGAGATAAAGCAATAAATAAAATTTTTTATATAAAAGATTGTATTTAAATTTTTTTTTTTAAGGTATTTGTTCTAATGCAATTTGATCCTGGACTGGAGTATAAGCCACCTGCAGTACGAGCCCCATCAGGCGGTCGCAGTACTAACACACAAGGCTCCGGGGTCGGTGGAGGCGGATCTAATAAAGACGATAACTCTTGATTGTTACTGTGTAGCGCCTTAACTGATGGTCCTTACTCGTACATTTGAACGATGGAGATAGCATTAATGTACAAAATGACACAATTTAGGCAATCAATCATAAGCATAATTTTACAAATAATTCGAAAAATGCTGCATCGTATAAAGCAGCCTCCAAAATAAATTCCATTCATTCCCATTTATTCAAATAATTCGTCAAAATTGTGTCAATTTTGTACATTTTATATTGACTTAAACATGAATGCATGCATATGGTATGAAAAGTAAAAAACACAAAGAAAACAGAAAAAATGAACAAATGAAACTTAAAATGAGAGACGGAAATTTTTATAAAAGTGCAAAAAAAAAAAAAAGAAGCAAAACAATGATACGTATTAGCAGAAATTATTCCCAAAGTTGCCAAAGATCGATTCATGTTTAGTAAATATAAAAAGAAGAAAAGTTAAAAACTATATATATAAAGATCTCGATAGTCGAAAGGAAAGCCATCGTTCAATTGTTTCAAATTATTGCTTCCCACACCATTCCGTTAGCCCTATATTATGTAGTAAAAGTCGATAACATACACTCTCTCTCTCTCTCTCTCTCTCACTCACTCTGTTATACTCTCCCTCTCTCTCTCTCTCTCTCTACACACACACATACACCTTAATTTTTTTATGATTTATTATATGCGTCTTTTATTAGTTCTGCCTGTCTGCACACTTAGACCATTCGATTATTTGATTATTTAATGCCTACCACCACCACACATACACGCACACGCAAACTCATAGAAACAATAGCACTCGGAAATTGTACATTTTTAGCCGGGATATGAATCTAATTCAAATTAGCCGCGTCCGTCTATACGTCCACTCAACTGTACCTCTTACGCGCTGAGTCCGTCCACTCTTTTAATAGCGAAACAGGCAAATGAAACTTGAAAATTTTTTTAAATTTTAAAAAATTTATTGTATGACTACGATAACCGCACTTTAGGTGCTTTACACATCGCAATAATCCCGAGACCGTTAACAGCTTTTCATTGACTTACTTCAGGGGTGGTGGGCATATAAAATTCGCCTTATGGCGTTTTTCTTTTGTTTTTCTTTTTAAATTCACTCTTTCATTTTGTATGTTATGTATATCCAATATAATAAATAGCACAAAATACTTCTTTTTCAAAAAAAAAATATGTCGATTTATTGAAATATTTCCTTTATTTTTTCCAACGCGAATACATTGATTAGGTCAAGTTCATAATTTTCATTTAATCTACGCGAAATTTCTTTCACTTATCAATATAAATTCATTTTATTATTTCATGCCACGTTATAAGTCATTTACGTCATCATCAGTTGCCTCTCTTGTGCAGGCCTTAGCGGATATGCTATAAACAAAAAACATCATGTAGCGTCACAGTCTAATGGCTAATGGGAAACTAATATTGATAATTATCAAAATATTTTGTAGTTTGAAAAAAATGTTCCTTTTATTTAATGGCAAATTAATAATTTTTAGCATAAATTTTAAACCACAACACACAATCGAAAAAAAACTATGTCAGCTGCAAACAATAAGAACGCGATGAAATCTACTCTTGCAACACGAAATATGTTTTCATGGAAAGCTTACTGTAATACCGGACGATAGATTACGCAGCACTTTCGAATGTGCTTTAATTTTAAGAATGAGTAACATGTTTATTATTTAATTTAATACTAACTTTATTTATTTATTTTTTATATCCATCATTAATATTAATTTTATCGTCCCGTTTGCAAATAATCATAATAACATGAATTATATTTGTATCCCTAGTCAAAGCAAAATCCAAAAAGATTAAGGTTTGTCCGAAAATATGATTCACATTTTCAAACTTTACTTAGCAATTTTATTTATAAAATGTTGGCTGTAAGGTTGCAATGTTAAAACATACCGATTTTTTGTTTTCTTATGGTAATCACGGCAATGATGCCCTACTGTAATAATTTTTGAAATACTATTGTGTCCAAAAAGTAAGACGAATTTATTTATTTATTTATTTTTTTTTTAATTTATTTTATTCCAAATCTATTCATTGTTAACAATTTTGCCCGCCGGAAGGAATTCATAGGACATACACGGCACAGCACGAACTGTGAATCGAAGAGAACTGTTAACATAACCTCAACATTTAAGTCAATTTAACGCAGTTATTTCGTTCTTCGGTATTCGTTCGATTGATCCGTTGTTTTGCGGATCGTATGCGTAGATTCTCATCTTCGGTAATAATGCGTTTCAATCGGTCACGAAAACGAAAACCGGAAGAAAAGTTTTTGCGTCCTACAAACGCTTATGATGTGAAATTTGACACAGATATCTGTCACAGTGCTACAAATTTAGAAAACAACAATTTCGGATATTCGATATACTCGCGCAATTTACCTTGAATATTGGTCTTACTTTTTGATCACAGCATTATATGAATTAAGTTAATTATTTGGATTTACAATTGCTGATATAAATATATATCGTTGTCTAACAATTATTTATGTCAAAGTAAGAGCCAAAAGTATTTCAATATTTTCGTTAGATTCCAAGATATTTTTTATATTTTAATAATAAATTATATTTTTTGGACGAATTGGGCATAAGAGAAGAAAAATTATGACTAAGGCTGCTCTGAACTTAATATATTTTCTTTTGTTTTTTATGCGCACAATGATAGTGCAGAGATAGACAGATACTTGTCTCACGAGTTTTATAAAGGGAAAAAGTTATATGTAAAAAGGAATCACAGAAATGACTTAATAATAATTTTAATAATTTTCATTTTGCTAATTATTGAAAAGTAAAGATGCGGACATTTCAAAACATATGTTGACCTCGATTTAAAGTTTTCACACAAGTTAGATGAAAGGAATTGTGGGCAGGGTGTGGGATGTTTGAAAATGGAAAAATACAAAATGTATGAAAAGCATAGTAACTGTAGCGATATTAAATGATGGAGTTGGACTTGGGCAAAGATCCTCTTGGGTAAAAGAAATGTTTTTTTGTATAAACTCTTTTTTATATGCTTTTCTTTAATACTCCTTCACATAAATGCACTGTTCAATTTTTGTTTTCTTCCACATCTTTACGCTTAATTTTTTCTTTTTCAATACTTCGTTTGTATAGTTTTCCGTTTTTTTTTTTTTTTTTTTGTTACAATATATCATAAAAAAATCGACCTCTATACTGAAAAACAAGAAATCAAAGAATAGAAAAGTCAATAATGGTGAGCGGTTAGAGATGTATTAACAAACGGACATAAAAAAAACCTATGTCTAATGGTGTGACACCAAGCAATTAGGAATCATTAGTAAGGTAAGCTACACATTAAGCAAGAACTCAAAAGATTGAATCTATTAAAAAATTTATTATATAAAACAATTAAGTCAAGGTATGACGTGAAAAACAATTAATAAGAAGAATGAAAAAAAAAAAAAAAAATGAAAAAAGAAAAAAGAAAAATGAGAGGTCAATAGACACGAAACGAAAACGAAACGTAAATTAAAAAAAAAAAAAAAAGAAAACTTTATTTGAGTAATGTACACAAAACTATATGTAAATATTGGTGTATGTAAGAGGAAGAAGAAGAAGAAGAACTCAAAGTCAGTCAAAGTGACGAAGAGAACAAAGCATTTAATTAATTATATTTAAATTAATACCATACATCAGAGTAGCAAAATGCGGCAAATTATGGCTACTGCTGCTGCTGCTGCTGCTGCTGCTGCTGATGGTGGTGGTGGTGTTGCCTGACGCGTAGCTTATTTAAGAATCGAAAAAGAACTTTGCTTCAAAAAAAAAAAAAAAGAAGAGAAATCGTTATTGCGCCAATTTGAAAGGAGCCTACAAACGCTGAGAAAATTCATTCTAAAAAGGGTTAGGGCGGGGCAAGTAGGAAATTTAATAGAAAATGCTTAGCGCTACAACAAACACATGCCTATGACCATTGCAAACGAAAGCGCATCAAAATCAAGCTTTTTATCAAAACAAAAAGTAAAAAAGACGAAACATTAAAAAAAAAAAAAAAAAAAAAAAAAAAAAAAAAAATCTAAAAATGAAAGAAAAACAGAAAAATAAATGGACAACAAGTAAACAAAAATTCTAAAATTTTGCATTAATGCGTGTGAAGTTTTTTACATATACATATATATAATTACACATGTAAGAGAACAATGTTCGCTTTAGAGCGAGTCGACAATATCCACCGCCCGGGATAAATGAAATGAAAAGATCGCTTAAACGTTAATTGCTAATTGTATAACTAACTAACCAACTGCCAGTACAACGATCCTGGATACATTTTCATAAACTCTTCAGATAAATCTTAAGGAGCCCTTCTGCTTTAGTTTTGTGTAAAAATATTGATAAAAAATGTGTTCAATTATTATGCTCTCGATTCTTGCTTGCTATTGAAAAGCTATTGAAAAGATGAACTATTTTCCACTTTTCTGCTTCGCACTATGTAAGAAGAACATTAAGCCCCATTAAGCGTCAAGTTTCTGCGGCGATATTCGCGATGCACCTATAAACAGACGCATGTAATTAAACTTGTCCTTGAAACTATTTTATAGCATGCATATTCATGCTTATTTCTAGAAATTTGCGAATTGTCTAATCAACTTTCCTCTCGTGGTGGTGAATAAAATTTGAAAAACCAAAAAAAAACCAAAAAACAAAAAAAAAACAAAAAAACAAATAAATAAAAAATGAAAATAAAAATAAACTGTAATTAATATAATTAATTTAATTTATAATATTTACGTATACATAAAATAAATATAAAAAAATAGCAATAAAGTGGCTTATTTGATTTAGGCTGAATCTTGAACTCCAGAAAAAGATTAAAAAAAAAAAAAAAAACAAATGTTAACGATAAAGCAAAATATAATGAAATGAAATATTACGTAAAATAATATAGTTCGTATTATACTTGAGCATATTTAGAATGCATTGCAATGCAATACACTGATAACGGAAAGATAAAAAGGAAAGGAATTGACTGAAAGCTCTAAATTAAATCGATTAGATCTACTTCGTTCTAACATACTTCACAAATACTTTCAACATTTGCTGCTGATAATGAATGACCACATACGTCCATTTCTGGAAAGGTCTTAAAGGGAATTCTAGCAACTATTCGGGCTAAATTTCTATTACGGGGGAAAGAAAGA